AGTTGTTGTTTGTTGTGGAATTGTTCGTCAGCTGATTAGCGTTGCTCGCTTGTGAGTCCGTTCGCCAGGCCGTGACCTTTGGCGAGCATAATCTGAGCGAATGCCTCGTGCTGAGCTCATTGCTTCGTAGTTATAGGAGGGCGTTATATAATAACCCCTTATATAATAATAATAATAACCCTTCTTCCAAAACTCCGCGGTGTTGGGTACCGCCGCTGGCAAGCGGAGCAATCTGCCAGTGCAGTGCCAAAATATTCAGCACCCGTCCAATTTTCCAGAACTATCCACGGCTCTCCACCAATCCCATTCATCTCACCCCTAACGGCCTCCCAACCAACCCCTCATTTCCCCTTAGTTTACTCTGACGACCAATCCGACTCGAATGTTCCTCCACCTTCAAATCTCATTCATGCCCCCCCCCCCCAAAGTGACAGTTCGCCAAATGTGAGACAGTCGAGCGCGCCATTTGACCTCACGAGCCGCGAATTATTCATTTCCCAACATGTTTGTTTTTTGGACTCTAGCACGACCCTTGCACACAAAGACGATGATCCCGATGGGGCCGCTTGTCCGCCTACGTATTTGCGCGGGAGATCGGACGGTGGTACGTGAGCAGTTGCAGCAGAAGCAGCAGGATGTGAGTCAACAACTGTTGCATCTGCAGGTGGAACCGGTGACCTCTGAACCTCACGTCCAGCGCGCGCTCAACCCGTTGCATCGCGCGACAGCAGCGCTCGTGAATTGAGTTGCAAGAAGCGAGTGAACAATATGTGGGCGTGTTTATTCCACTGGCAATGTTAATAATATCATGTCATCGCGTTACAGTTATAATCGGTAACAGGTAGCAGATTCATCCTCAAAATCAATACAGTTGTCACTTTGCAGTTCTTGAATACTGACGCATTTAGGTTACATTGCAAATTATAAATACTGTCGGACGAAATGCAAAAGTAAGCAAATTGTCTTACCTATAATTGTTTTAATCAAAAAATATAATTTCATTAAGATGATTATTGTTTGACAACGATCCACGGTCACAGCTGTGAAACCTGTACTCTGCAAAGAAGAACTTTTCCTGAAAATTGTTTTTTTTAATTCTCAAATAAAAATAACAAAAACAAAAATCTCTTGATGTATAAATGGCGAACGTAACCCACTGCCTTACTTCACAATTTGTAAAAATACTTTACCGCAACGATATATTTTTTGGCATTGACCTGCATATGTTTCCCACGTCAACTTCCCGCTGACAACGTCACGGGCACGCTTCATCGTGCACGAGGCCCTGCTGCGACACGCTACGAGTTGGACGCGACTGTCGCACCGAGCGGAAAGTGGCACGCAACTTTGCCGCCGCCTTCGGCCTTCCCGAGTGGGCGACGGGCAACTTGCACTCGCGCTTTCGGCTTCCTCGCAGCTAGCACGACCGTTTGTGCCTTTTCCACTGGCGCGTCCAAGCCGAGTCAGCATCGGGCCCCTCGCTTTGCCTTTGGTTACCCATTGGCTGTACGCCGAGCACGAGGCCTGGAGCCAAGCCGTGATGCGCTGGCCTCACGAGACAAAGCGGCGCCTGGGGTGGCAGGGTCTCGAACTCGTTCACTCTGTGTGACGTCAGCGGCACGGGTCGGCTTCTGCAGTGGAAAAAGAGGATGGTGCCTGCGGAGGACTATTGTTGTTGCTGCTGCTGCTACTGCAGAAAAATCGTGGACAACAGCAGCCTCCGTGAAGGTGCTGGATGAGAAGGAGCATAATTAAGGTTCCACAAGGGACAATGTATTCCAGCCCTTTGTTGGAATAAACTCCAAAGCCCTACGAACTGGTGACAGCCCGACGTCTCGATGGCACAACTCCCGGTTGACTGCAAACATCACCAAATGCAACCCGGCAACTGACCCGAGCAGTGAACTCCCAGGGTTTAACCTTCCACAGACAACTTGTGGACGCTGGCCGGGGAAGATGTGGCCACGTGCTCCAACAAGTGGAACGTGAGGCGCAGAACCAAATTGTGACTGTGGCCACCTCCAAGTCAAGGCGATCGCCCACGTACTGAACTCCTGGCCCTGAGAGAGATCCGTTCCCCGGTGACATCGCGGCCACTCAGTCTGCCTCGCCTGAAGCCATTGAATGGAACGCTAATCTCGACATCGAGCAGCAGCTCCTTCCCCCAGCCATATGAAGAAGAAGCGCATGAAGCGCACGAGAGAGCGATCGTGGTTACCGGAGGAAATAACTGCAGTTGCATTTCACCCCCGCTGCCGAAGGAGGAAAAGCGTTGCAGACACGATGAGGGTGGATGAGGGGTGAGTTGTTGAAATGATTGGTGGTGGTGGTGGTGGTCAAAGGAATAAAGTGAAGACACAAAGAGGGCTCGCGTAAAATGCTTAAAAACCCTTGGGGGGACCCCCATCAGAGTGTGTCCTGCCCGTGGAGCTGTACCTCGTGGAACTGGCTGAGGAATTGGCCTCTGCATGTACGTAGTGCCCTGGTTCACAGTGACTCACGGGTGTTGAGTTTTACTTGGGAGGCCCACTTAATGGGCAGATACATTTGGGTTTTTTTTTTGGTTCTTATCCGGTATCAGGATCGTAATTAAAGACGCTCCTAAATTCTACCTCGAATGCTAAAGATGATGCTGCTTGAGGTTAACGCTGCCACAAAGACCCGGCTTGCTGAGGCTCAGACGTACTTATGATTAAAAGAAAAATAACTTCTGTTTATTCAAACATTTCACCTGGATAGCGCCTCGAGATGGAACATCTCATTCGCAAGGGTGTCTCCAATTGCTAAAACGTGTAACATAAAATACGAGGTTGATCGTCGCTCACGCTTAAAGATGGACAAGTGTTTGAGCCGGCGTGATCATGTATGACAAAAAAACATCACAAACATACCTTTTAAAAATATGACATGAAACGTGAGTACATTTCTCTGTATTTGTTGAACACCACTGCCCCGTTTGCGCGGTCGTGCTTTGCAGCCCTCTGATGCGTTCTCGGATCGCACCGCGTGGTGTTCCACTCGATGTCCGACGTTTCGCTCCAAGTTCTGGGAGCTTCTCCAGGAACGGAATACCAAAGAAATTACAGACCAAAGTCTCTCTTTGTGGAGGACCGATCCTAAGAAACCCCCAGCAGCAGCAGCACGTGGAGAAAAACGTCGGACATCGTGCCAAACAGTCCATGGCACAAACCATTATGGAACAACAGGAATGGGGCAGGCCTCTCTCTCTACCTGGGCAGGTGCGGAGCCAGGATTTTCAGCCCGGGGTGACATTCAACAAATTTTAATTTCAAGAATGATTAGAGAGTCAGGCTGTTGAACTAGACGCCATCGGTTGGCGACACACTCTGACAACGCAGTTGCACGGAGTCCGCCAGACCGAGTGTCGTACACTTATACGCAGAATGTTTCAGATTTTCGATTTTTTATTTTTTTTCGGGGGTGACAATTGTCTACCCTGTCACCCCCCCCCCCCGGCTCCGCTCCTGTACCTGGGTGGAGGTTGGGGCGTCGTGAATATTTTCCACGACGCCACGTGGCACAATAAAACCACCCTTCGGTGTGAGCGTGCGTGGCTCCGTGCGCGTTCGCGACGTCGCACGCGCTACGTTCCCTCGTGTTCTCCTCCGCGCGTCTTCGACGCGGACGCATCGCAGACTTCTCTCTGGGCGGTGCCAAGACGTTTTAAAAAAAGTGGCTTCGTATCCTCTCCCTGATGTAACACTGACCCAAAGAGCACCATCAAAACCTTACACCGGCCCCTACACCCTGCCCCCCCCCCCCTTAGCACTGCTCAACGTGTCTAGGTTTTATGGCAGCCTCACGCCTACGGAGAGCAAAGCAGAAAATCAGTAGTGAAGAATAATACCTCTGATGATGATAATAGGTCTTGATCGTATCTATAAAGCAAATATGCGATAATGAATGCACTATGACTACAGAAATACTATTATAATGTAACAATCAACATATTGTGTGTGTGTGTATATATGTATATCACAGGATAATCGCATAAGTCATGGCTTCTCAAATTCCTATCCTGATTGTCTCCGCCATGGTCGAGGTTTGCATTGGGGCTGTTGATTTTAAATGTAATCCAATGGTGCTGTCAGCTTCATGCCAGAGGGTGTCCATTCAGAACTCTCGCAGAGTAATGCATCACCCTGCCATATAGAGAACGACCCGCAGAAATAGATATCGCAGAACTACTTCTGAGATCCCTAAAAGTTACATTTTTTTATTTACACACTTTCCTCCAAGCCCCACCACACAGAAATGGTGAGTAAAAACCAAATATGTTTAATTGTAAGAGCTGGCATTTTTCAAAATGCATTCTAAAAACTAAATTTAACATGATGGTATTTTTCTTCAACCCTTGTTCACTGGGCTGAAACCATTGACTCGCCAAAGTTGAAAGAGGCAGATGAATCGCAGGGCAGCTTGCACTCCGATTCGAACCCCCGGATGTCAGCTGTTCTCCCAATCCCTCAGCCAGTTTGCCACCACCAATGTTTCCATCTCTACCCCTAGTAGGCTGAAAACTCAACAACTAACCTAGTTTTTTTATTTTACGTCGCTATTTTTTTTTAAAGCGACCTGGTTGATAGCTCAACGGAGTGGCGGCTCCTCATCATCACGTGTAAGTTGACAACGGCCACACACTCTGAACGCGTGATGTTGATTCTAAATGCGGAAGGAAAAACCGGAGGACCCGGAGAAAAATCCACGCGACCACGGGGGAGAGAGAGAGAGACACCGCAGACTCCAAATATTCATCAGGGTCGGGATCGAACCCACTGACCTCCTGTATACCAGGCGAGGTAGTTAACATCTCGCCACGGCTACGCCCAGCTCTGTGCACTGAATGGTGGCTTCGATTATGATTCAACCGGTGGCGAGGACTGCGAGGCGCAAGGATCGTTGCGGAGCGCGACGGCCTGCTGCTTAGAAAGCCGCCATGTCCGTCATTGGCTGTGGCCACGGGTTTTTTTCTTCTTCCTAAAACGACGCTGATCTTGCATGACAGCGAAGTCTACGGACGGGTGTGTGAGCGGTGTCACGGGGAGCGAAAGCGGTGAGCACGTTGCCGTACGAACCCGGTCACCCGAGTTCGATCCCCGCTCGCGAACCAACTTTGGTGGCGATTATCTGAACCAGTCCTGCACCTCCCCTAGGTCGACTCGGCCTCAAATGAGTACCCCGTGGGATCCGTAATAATTGTCGCTGGGGGAGACGACACGTGCCCCAACAGTCTGTTTAGGCTACGGGGCAGAGACCTTTGTCGTTGTGTGCGAGTCGTGTGGCTGCAGCACCACGCTCACAAACAAGATAGGCCTCGATGGGTATTTGAACTGAACCGGCCTGCCGATAGCTTGGCTTAAATGTTAAATGGTCTGCCCAGTTAGTCGCTGACAAAGTTCGGCAGCACGTGTGCGGAGCGCGCTCCGGCAACCTCACCGACCCACAAAGGAGCGTGATTATCGCCGGTTTTAGAGCACATCCTTCGAGCGCTCGGTATTCGCGAGCGAGCGAATCCCGTGCCGCGCGAGGAGCCGCAGGAACCACAGGCAAACGGAAGATGCAGCGGGAAGGTGAGTCGATCGCCAACGATTGCCCAAGCTCTGCGGTTCTCTACGTATGAGGGCGTTGTCGGCCAATTAATGAGCGCTTACACGTGGGAAAGAAACCGTAGCGCTCGGGAGGCACCCCATGCGTGCGAGGGTGCAACGCTCTATCCTGTACAGATGGAACAGGTGGGGTCCACGTTGCTTGTTATTTAGGTTATGCCCTTCCTTTAATCAAGAGTGAAGGATCATTACAACTGTGAGTCTTGTACTACTCTGCATGCAAACGCCACATCCTTATTATATTGAGGTATATTAATGTATATTCACGTGCTGACTGTGTGTGTGTATCTTCTTAGGATTATTTTGAAAAAGGAAAGTTCAATTCACTTGGTATTCGAAATCTAGATTGAAATAACATTTACTTTAAACCATTTGTAATTTATATCACGTTTATAGCCAGGGGTCGTTAAGATTCCATTGCAACAGCATCCGGTTACGACTTGCATAGCGTTGCATAGCGTTGCGAAGCTGCAGTGGATTTACGGGGCGATGCGGAAGAACTCAAAGGGACGATGGGAGTAGAAGTTTGTAAAAGTCAAACATGGAAGTGCGGCGAAACGATGATCGATGGCTTTCAGGATGGCCTACGGAGGTGTGAATGCACGGAGGGGGTGACGCGTGGAGGCGAGGAACTCGGGAGAGAGCGAGAGAAAACAAACGGTCGAGTTACCATGTAACTTGAGGTGCGCGGTACATCAAATGATGCGTGACCTTATTCTGTGGCGAAGGTTGCGACAGAAGCAGGGAAAGGACGGCATATCAACGACCCCTGTGCACTCGTGATGCCACTTCCTGAAGCTATTGGGCCTCACAAGTCCACTTTCTGACACTGATACGGCCCCATCATTGGCTTTGGAATCCCATGACCCCTGCTGGGCCTTATGCCTTATTGTTACAAAATATGTTCGACGTTTGGTGGCTACCTCCACCGGATGACTTTTTTTTTTTAGAATTTTACTCTTCATCATACGTTGAATTAAACATGAACATTGTTACTATTTACCTGCTTGACTTTTCACTTTTGTTTTTAATTGGCACTAATAAATCGACCACAAGTATTTTCAATAGGATGGACGAATATGTTACACGTTCTGACACGTTGGCATTTTTTCCCCTTCAAATTCATGCATTGCAGAAGCAGTTGATGAGAGGGCTAACTCATAAGCTACATGTCATGAATTCCATCCAATCACAGGCAGGTCTAATGAGGCAGCTACTGTGGAAATAACCACAAGAAGCTTACAGCAATTGGGCTGTTCTGGAGGTGAAAATTCCACTTTGGGAAAATGGGAATTCACGAAATGGATACAAATATGAAAAAGGTGGCTTTTTTATTTGAAAAGATATATTTTATTTATTTTCAGCAAGAACGCGGTTAGGCTCTATTTCATGGGTGTCCTGGGAAGGTCGAAAATAGGTTTGAGTTACTTCTCCTATTTCCTCATGGAAGTCCAGTGACTGATGTCTATCAATGCATAGCGGGCTACACTCTCTCAGTTCCGAAGTACGTGATTTCCTCTTACCGTCTCATGAACGTGCCCTGCTTCCTCTGCAATTCACACACACACACATATATAGAAACGTATATTCACACATGGCTTCTTTGCAACGTGGTCAATAACTGATCGAGAGCGTAAACGGTCACGGGTGTGCTCCCTCGTTAGCTTTCATCCCCAACATGTTGGCTGCGGACGTCCTAACACAGCCCAACGCAAACCTCGTTCTGCACGAAGTTGTAAACGTTTTACCAGGCACCTGAGCGCAACAGGCGTCTCGCTTGCGAGAATAATCATCCCCGAGCTCCGTTGACCGGTGTTCGTCGAATGCAGGAGGTTCAACGGGCTTTTGTACGCACGTTATGTATGTTGAACTTCTTCTGCTCCAGTTTAACGTGGATGCTTTCGTGATCAATATCATGCATAATACAGGATTTTTTTTATTTATTACGGATGATATTAGATCGTGATCGAACCCAAAAAAAAACCTGCATTATGGATTCTTCTGCACCGCATGTAGCCAACCGTGCTAATCGGTGGTGCGGGGGAAGGACAACAAACTAAACTCACGAAAGAAAATGCCTTGGCACGCTCGCGATGATCATTATCAATATAGAATAGCGTAGACTTTTGTTGCGGTGCGATATGGTCACCCATCGTCACCTGAAATCTGCTCAGCCGATGTCAAATGGCTCGGCGTGTGATTGGCCAGCCGCATGTTTGCGTTGTTGCGTCTGGGATGATCCCGACCGGGCCCTGCGTGGCCGGCATGTGCTGCTCTCCGCAGTCAAAAGAAGCGAACGCTACAATGCATCACTCGCCTCCCCGCCCGCCCGCCCGCCCGCTCACCACTCGTGCTCCTTTCCGAATGCACCGTGTTTACGCTACTCATATATATAAATACACACAGATTATAGCGTGTGCATGCACACACATCACGATAACGATAAGCACCATTGTTGTTCAGTATTGTATACCTTTGTTGTTTTTACTTCATTTAACGTCACGTACGACTGTTTTACTTTCTCTCTTTAAAAAAAAATAATAATAATGATGTCGGTCTGCCTCCCAAGTGCCGGCCGGGCACCTGGAGTTTGCGACTGCGACAATAGGATGACGATCACCGCTCCAGGCCTGAGAATCGTGTGGTGGAGAGGGGGGCACGGTGGTGGGAGTGGCTGCGGCGTAGGACCCGGTGAGGGTGGACCAGCTCGCGGTGGCGTTCGGAGACACACGAGCAGCCAGCTGGCGGGGGGGAGGGGGGTAATGGCTGTCTCTGGACGCCGGTGAGGATCGGACACCCAGCCTGTGTGTGGCTGGAGAACGTTGAGGCGGCCAGCCAGCCGCGTGCTTGGCTAAGAGACGCAGGGATGACCCACGGTGCAGGTGAGGACCCAACAAAGGGGTTGAGGCAACGTGGCTGCGGCAGTCCAGAGACGGTGGCAAATATTTTAGGGGAACCGGTTTCTGCACAAGGTACAAAAAAAAAAGTGGATTGCATAATAACACACGCAATTTTGGTTCGTGCGTAATTTACTTTCAGTGGCCATTAATCGACGTTGCTACGACTCAAGTTTTACCATCTCGAGCGGTACCAACAAGTAAAATATTTGGTCTCCGTACACTACGGGGGCTGGAGAAGGCCAAACAGGTACCCGTGGGGCTGGATTAAAGGGGTCGAGGTGGCCGCTCCCCGAAGCCGGCGAGGACGTCCAGCCGACGTTGGGGCTGGCAGGAACCATCGACGGCCACGGCGTCGGGGTTGCGAGGATGCTGCTGGTGATGATGAGACGGTTGGTCGTGGAACCGGGGCGGAGTCCGGAGTGGTGGCGAGCGGGCGGGCGGGCGGGCTGGCGGTACCTGCGGCGTCGCCGGAAGCTGTGGCGCCGACGTCGTGGGCGACGTGGGTTTGGCGGCCGTGCGCGCGCGTTGGCTACGTGCGACGCATGCACACCTGGCAGCGGCTGATGCGTGACCGCAGGTCGCCGGCCTTGAGGGTCTCCGACTGCGGTTTCCTGTTCCGCGAGGGTGGCATGAAGCAGCGTGAGCACGCGGCTCCATCACCAGGCGACGCTGCAGGGCATCGCGTGGGCTTTTACCCACGATGCCTTGCTGCCTAAATGTTAGGAATGAATCTAGATGTGTTAGGAATGTGATATTTCCATCTGTTGTCAGCAGAGAGTAGCTATCCTCTGTGCCTCAATCGCCAATCTGCACCGACCGACATGATCAAACGCGGTCAATTATCTCCCACGGCCAGCACGGCGTGGGGAGGCCCTCATCCGGCAGTGGACGGACAAAAGCGCTGTCAACGCGTGCGTCATTACCGCTCCCCCTTTGCGACTCGATGAGTCGCAATGGCGTGGGGGCTCCCGGCTCGATTCCTTAACGGGCTTGCGACCTCAAGAGCCTCCCGTGGCGTTGGCACGAATCCACCACGAATCAAACAACAACGACGCCCGCGCGCCGGGGAACCGCGCCGCGTGGCTCACCGGAACATGTTGCTGCCATCGATGGTGGCGAGCCAGAAGCTGAAGGAGTTGGCGTAGTAGTTGCAGGTGCCACGCCCGTGGCACTCGATGAAGGGAGTCGAGCGGAACTCCTCCAGGCACGACCCCGGCGACGCCAGCGCCTGGCCCGAGCCCTCCGACCCGGCGCTCGTGTGCTGTAACACACGAGAGCGCGCGTGAGCACGCGTGAGTGCGCGTCGGCGTCGGCGTCGGGCGCACCGTGGCGCCGCCCCGCTCTGTTCAACCGCCCCGGCGTTGAAGGGCCGAGGGTCCCACATTTCGGCATCGCGTGACGCGCTGTCGAAATCTACCCGGTCGCCTACAGGGCTGCTACTCGTCAGCGCTGGGCCCCGACAAATATCCGGGGAGCAGTAATCTGGCTCCGTGAGACTTGAGCGTGGTTGCTCAGGGGGGCTTTTCGTCTGACGTTGCTCTGGTTCGTCTTCAAGTAATTACAAGGAGCAAGTCATCGGTGCGTTTTGGTGGCTGTAGCGAGCGCTGTTGGGCACGATGCCCAACGGTTTCACTCCACATACTCGGTTAGATTACATTTACACGGTGCTAACAGTAATGCTACCATTAAGACTGACAAATCCTTTTTAACATATGTTTAACTTTTGCCAGGTTCCCAACATTTCATCGGTGCCTCTTAGCCACAGCCACGTGACACCCACGCGACACCCACACGACACCCACACGAGACCCACGTGACACTCACAGGACACCCACACGTCACTCACGTGACACCCACGCGACACGCACACGTCACTCACGTGACACTCACAGGACACCCACACGAGACCCACGTGACACCCACACGAGACCCACGTGACACCCACACGACACCCACACGACACTCACAGTGGCTGCACCTGCGCATCGGGGAGGTGGGTGGAGGTAGGCAGCAGCAGGAGAGAAAATAAATATATAAACCATTTAAACTTATTTTAAACTATAAACTGTTTTTATTTTACCAGGTAAGGCCCACTGAGCTATGTGGCTCTTTTTCAGAAGCAACCTGACCACAAATGATTTATGTGGAAAGTTATAGCGGAAGCCAAATACTCTAAATGCGTGATGTTGATTCTAAATCTGGAGGGAAAAATCGGAGGATCGGGGAAGAAAACAACCACGTGGCCACGGAGAGAGAGACACGCAAACCACAAATATACAGCAGCAGCAGGCGTCGTGCTCGGGATCGAACCCACGACCTCCTGCATACCAGGCGAGATAGTTAACATCTCCTAGCCACCTTGGTTGGGGTGGAGGTGGGGAGGGAGATGTGGCGGGCAGCGTCTTACCATCATGAAGGAGTAGCCGAACCACAGGGAAGCCCATCCCTCGGGGCACGGTGGCACCGTGACGGACTGGCTGTGCACGGCGATCACCATGGCCGATGCCTCGCACACCGAGCACCTGCGCCGGCACGGCACGGGAGATAGTGACACACGGAAGACGATGGCACGGGAGACAGTGACACACGGGAGATGGTGACACACGGGAGACAGTGACACACGGGAGATGGTGGTTTGGGAGACGGTGGTGGCACACGAGAGACGCTCAATCCCACACAGACGGGACATGCCGAGTCCACATTTGGCTGTGGCGCCTTCTCCTGGCGAGCCAGGGTCCGTGTCTTCTCGACGCCCACAGGAAGGGGAGTTTCACAGCATTTGTTGCGGTGATCCACCAACCCTCGCCGCCGCCTCCACGGCGCTGGATCACGAGCATCCACGTGCAGCACGGCCGCGGCCACCACCGGCGGCGCGCTCGCAAAACGCCGCGCGGCTGATGGGATGCGTTAAAAAAATTGCTTTTGTATTTTATCTCGGGCGGAGAGAGGTGGCGACGCTCGGCGATGAGCGAACGGCGAGGGGGTGGGGGTGGGGGGCAGCACCTGCTGATGAAGGGTTCCACGTGGGGTCCCGTGACGGGGGCCATGCTCATGGGCATGGGCTCGGGCGTGGACAGCCAGTAGGAGTAGTCGTTGCGCGACGCGAAGTTGCACACGTTGTTCAGGTTGCAGAAGACGAAGGGCATCGTGCTGAATCGGCGCAGGCAGCTGCCCGCCGTGCCTGCAAGCCAAGAGGGGGGGGGGGGGTGGGGGTGGGGGGCCGAGCCAACGCGTGAGCGACAATCGTTTCGGCTTGCAACGGCGACCACGGGGGGAGGGACGCGCGCAAACTCCGAATATGCAGCAGGCGTCTGGGTCGGGACCGTGCACGCGACCGCCCGCGCGGCTACGCTGCAACACGCCACCTCGTCGGGCACGTCGTACCCAGGTCCTGTCCGTGCGCGCGTTCGTTGCCCTGCACGTAGAGCAGCGAGTATCCGTCGTAGACCTTCTCGGTGCCCTGGGGGCAGCTGGGCACGCTTTTGGCCTGGCTGTGCCTCGTCACCAGGAAGCCGTGCGGCATGGAGGCCTTGCCGGGAGGGCCCCTCGAGCCGGGCATCCCGTCCACGCCCTGCGGCCCGGGACGACCCACCTCGCCTGCCGCACCGTGGACGGCAACGTCGTCATCAGTATCATCATCATCATCGTCGCCATCATCATCAGCATTGCGTTGACAATCAATGCCACCATCAGAGTCACAATCGCACCACCACCACCATGGCGACCACTAATGGAAACAACCGTATCATTGCAATCTCCGTCACAATGAGAATGATACCACCATCCAAGCACGAACCAGACTCCCACCAGATTGGCGTCCAGGATCTGGCCAGGTCGGCCACATTCAGGGCGAATATTTTGCAATTTCGTCAGTGACAGTACCACCGCCAATGTCACACCGCCAAAATCGTTATGCCAACTCCATTACCACCACCGCCGCTGCACTTGTATCGATATAAACGAGTGAAGCGTCTCGCCATTGCTTTCCCTTGCTGCACGGATTGTACCACGTGTAGATCGGCATGATGTCCGCACACCATACGTCGGGAGGCGGAGACGCTCCCGGCATGTGGGCCAGAACGTCGGACATCGTGCCAAACGGCACGTGGCAACTACCCCAAAAACATCAACTGGTACAGCGCATTCGGCCTCCTACTGAAGGTTCTATTGCTGAAGGCTCTACTGCTGAAGGCTCTACTGCTGAAGGCTCTTCTCCTAAAGGCTCTATTGCTGAAGGCTCTATTACTGAAGGCTCTATTGCTGAAGGCTCTACTGCTGAAAGCTATGTGGCCCATTGCTGAAGGCTCTATTGCTGAAGGCTCTACTGCTGAAGGCTCTATTGCTGAAAGCACTGTGGCCCATTGCTGAAGGCTCTATTGCTGAAGGCTCTATTGCTGAAGGCTCTGTTGCTGAAGGCTCTGTGGCCCATTGCTGAAGGCTCTATTGCTGAAGGCTCTATTACTGAAGGCTATGTTGCTGAAGGCTCTGTGGCCCATTGCTGAAGGCTCTATTGCTGAAGGCTCTATTGCTGAAGGCTCTGTTGCTGAAGGCTCTGTGGCCCATTGCTGAACGCTCTATTGCTAAAGGCTCTATTGCTAAAGGCTCTATTGCTGAAGGCTCTGTTGCTGAAGGCTCTACTGCTGAAGGCTCTATTGCTGAAGGCTCTGTGGCCCATTGCTGAAGGCTCTTGTCACCCATTGATCGCAGGTCTAGTCCTAGACGCACACAGCTGTCCCGGATATCTGCAAGGCCAAATCACCGCACGGGGGCGCAAGGTTTCCACATGTCAATGAGGTACAACAAGGCAGCCAGCAACCTCTATCGGGACCTTGAATGTCGGTACAATCTTTTTCTTTTTTTACTCCACAAACGTGGTAGTTGATCAACATCATCATCATCACCAGCGGTGCTCTCACCCGGGTCGCCTGAAGTACCCATGTTGCCTTTGGGCCCCTGGCTCCCGTCGATCCCAGGGAACCCGTCCTGGCCAGGCGGCCCATCAGGGCCCACGAAACCTGTGGCAACACAGGTGACACAGATAACACAGGTAACGATGTTACACAGGTAACACAGATAACACAGGTAACGATGTAACACAGGTGACAGTGTAACACAGGTAACACAGATAACACAGGTGACGGTGTAACACAGGTAACACAGATAACACAGTTAACGATGTAACACAGGTAACACAGATAACACAGGTAACGATGTAACACAGGTGACACAGATAACACAGGTAACGATGTAACACAGGTGACAGATAACACAGGTAACGATGTAACACAGGTAACACAGATAACACAGGTAACGATGTAACACAGGTAACACAGATAACACAGGTGACACAGATAACACAGGTAACGATGTAACACAGGTGACACAGATAACACACGTAACGATGTAACACAGGTGACACAGATAACACAGGTGACACAGATAACACAGGTAACGATGAAACACAGGTAACGATGTAACACAGGTGACGGTGTAACACAGGTAACGATGTAACACAGGTGACGGTGTAACACAGGTGACACAGATAACACAGATAACAATGTAACACAGGTAACGATGTAACACAGGTGACGGTGTAACACAGGTAACGATGTAACACAGGTGACGGTGTAACACAGGTGACACAGATAACACAGGTAACGATGTAACACAGGTAACACAGATAACACAGGTAACGATGTAACACAGGTAACGATGTAACACAGGTGACGGTGTAACACAGGTAACACAGATAACACAGGTAACGATGTAACACAGGTAACGATGTAACACAGGTGACACAGATAACACAGGTAACGATGTAACACAGGTAACACAGATAACACAGGTAACGATGTAACACAGATAACACAGATAACACAGGTAACGATGTAACACAGGTAACGATGTAACACAGGTGACACAGATAACACAGGTAACGATGTAACACAGGTAACACAAGTAACGGTGTAACACAGGTAACGATGAGCCGCTGGCGTGTTCCGAGATTCAGCGGTGAACGGGACGCCACCCCCACCCTGCAACTTGGAGACGTCTCGCAACGGCAAAGGGCTCATCACGCGGACTCATGTTGGTCAGAACAAACTCAATTGTGCCCCTTCTCGCCCCCACGAAATCGACTATTTTAATTTCTTTATTGACTTCCTCTTGTCTTTTTCCCCTATGATATTCCAACTTCGCTGTCGGCATCACGCCTGTCCATTCAGAACTATTGCAGTAGCGGTGCATTACCCCATGTTAGAAAACGGCCTGTGGAAGGTGATATCCAAGAACTCCTTGAGAGATTACTTTAAAGTGAACTCTTATTTGATTAAGTCAAGGGTGGCTGAAATACATAAATTCACACAAAGGACCTCGGCAGTACTGACTGAGAAGCTTATACGCAGCCACTGATCATCGTCATCGTGAGCCGTGGTCAATCCACTGCTGGATGAGGGCTTCCTCAAGCCACCGCC